ACAACAGCGTGAGGCAACGGATCCAGCCGGGTGCCTACGGACGCGGCAGCGACAGGCAACGGACCCAGCCAGACACACGTAGAGTTAAGGCCCTTGCACAATGCTGGCGATAGCGATAGGAACAGAGGTATAACGATAGAATAGAAATAGTGATAAAAATTATCGCAACCCTATGCACAATGGCGCCACAGGAATACTAGCTAACCAATCAGAAATCGTATAGTCTACCCTTCCATCTATTTCAAGTAAGTGGTATAAACATAACGCATAACCTGTAACTTTTACCAGAAGATTCCCCTCTGCTTTTGCAGTGTTCAAATTCATCTTCGACCTTGCAATTTTTCAACGGTTCTTTAAATATATACTTTGTTTTAAGTTAAATGTTACTTGGTAAGTATTTCTGAAATTATATTTATAGAAGTATATATTGTCCTGTTATATTACATTTCAACGAATATTCATTTCAGGTTAATTTGCGATGGAAAATGAAGAGTTGATGTTATTTATCTGTACAATGCAAGTAACTGTATTAGCATTGTACACTGCATGGAAGGCGAAAAGGGGTAAACGTTGGAAAAACCGCCGATGGTGGGTTCGTCCCATAAATACAAGACGAGAAGTGTATGGAGACTTCGCAACTCTATTTTCAGAGTTGAAAGAAGATGTAGATCTCTTCTTCCGATACACAAGAATGGATGTGTCCACGTTTTATGAATTGCTCCGACTAGTGAGCCCATACTTGCAAAAGAGGAGTATGAGACCATCGATAAGCCCAGAACAGCGTCTTGCAATAACATTGAGGTAAATCATATTTATTTCAAATGATAGACTATCTTTTATTTATAAAGTATATTTTTAAGAATCAATATAATCCCCCTTCTTTGTACATATAACTAGACAAGCAAATTTTGCAAATAAGCTACAGTCTATAAAATTGAAGTAATATAAAAAATATTTAATATTTTTAATAAATAAATAAATAATTAAAATATTAATTTTGTTATAGATATTTGGCAACAGGAGATCAAATGCTGTCTACAGCTCTAGCCTACAGAGTAGGAGAGTCCACGGCTCATATGATCGTCAAAGAAACATGTTCCATTATAGCAAAAGTTTTAATGCCAATCTATGTGAAATCTCCAACCGAAGAAAAATGGAAGGAGATCTGCGCAGATTTTTTAGCTTTGTGGAATTTGCCAAATTGTACCGGAGCGATCGATGGGAAACACATCACCATTCAGGCACCTCCAAACTCTGGATCTGTATATTTCAATTATAAGAAGACATTTAGCATCGTGTTGATGGCCGCTTGTGATGCCAAATATCGATTTACATTGTTCGATGTGGGTGCGTATGGCAGCGATAGCGATGGAGGAATTTTATCACGATCAGCCTTCGGAAAAGCTTTATATAGAGGCATACTCAACTTACCAAGAGGAACAGCTCGTCTACCAGGAAGTGATAAGGAGACGCCTTGCTATTTTGTTGGCGACGAAGCCTTCCAAATGTCGATAAACATGATGCGACCTTATCCGGGCAAGACTTTAAATGACCAGAAAAGAATTTTCAACTATCGACTATCACGAGCCAGAAGAACAATAGAAAATACATTTGGTATCCTTGCAGCTAGATGGAGGATACTTCGAAGACCAATTTGCGCTGGACCAGAAGCTGCCGACAAATTTGTATTAGCAGCAATATGTTTGCACAATTTTTTAAAAGCAAAAAATGACGAGACAGCACCACAGCAGCAAAGATATTGCCCTCCTCAATTCGTGGATAGAGAAATTGAAGGACAGGTAATTGAAGGAGAATGGCGAGGATCAAGAAATGACCATTTAAGTCCTATCGGAAAATGTGGAGCACACAGAGCTACGAAAGAGGCTTATTTGATGCGGGATACTCTCTCGTCATACTTTATGACAACTGCTGGCGAAATTCCATGGCAATACGAATATATACATCAAGGATTACATCGTGATGCGAATTGAAATTCTACTTTTTTCGTATATACATATATTTTGTATACAGAAAAGTGAAATATTTTGTTTATTAATTATAAAATAAATGTGTGTAAATGGTATTGAATATTAATGTCATGAATACATGTAATACATATTAATGTATATTACTAATATAAATGTATTTATTACTATTCTATATTCCAACATTTATTTTCAAATAATAACAAAATATTTTACTTTATTTTATACAAAATATACAATATAAAATGTGTACATATAAATATTGTGTGTAATAATATGTAAATTTGGATTATGTAATAAATAACCTTAAGATTTTTCATAAAACATTTATTATAAAATTTATTAAAGGTACAAGTTTAAGTTGTCAGAACAAGAAGATTTCTATAAATTTTTTACATAAAACATTTTCATAAAACATTATAAAATTTATTAAAGTTATAAGTTTGAGTTATCAAAACAATATAAGATTTCCATAAATTTTTTTTTCAGAATACTTTTCTTTGGTTCAGAAGCACTCTTTAATTCTGCAGTAACCAGCTTTCCGATAAGAACATCAGGATCGTCGCTGACCGATGTTGGATTCATTTTTTAACATACCTGCATTGCCATCGTATTTAGAGTGGTATTAATTTGAGAGAACGTACTTTCTATTGGGTCGATCTTTCGCTTCTTTATTGATTTTTGTTTTCCCATAAAACATGTAGATGGAGGACTCAATATTTCAGAATCAGAATCTGAGGGTAATGATAATTGATGCGAAGAGGAAGCAGTTGATGGTTGTGGTGATGAAACAGCTGATCGTTCTGATACAGTAGTTGAGTGTTGTATTGTAGCAATCGATTGCTGTGATGGTGGAGGTGTTAATACCTACAGTAATTAAAAAATTAATTATTCACATTTTCATATGATGAATTTATCACTCTGTTGTTTTATAATTAACGATTAAAAATAGGACCGAGTAAAATTCTCTTGATTTTGTACAATAGAAACGTATCTAACATCGAATACTTCAAATATATATTATAGATTCTGATGATGATGGCATAGTTCATCGAAACGTCAAAAAAATTTGATACATTCAAATTTGACCCTTATGAAAAAATACACTCAATCATACGTTGACGGTCCGAAATAACCATCAAATTGAGTGTAAACCTTCATGAAACACTCAATTATGAAGGTTTACACTCAATTTGATGGTTATTTCGGACCGTCAACGTATGATTGAGTGTATTTTTTCATAAGGGGACTCACATATCAATCCTGTTAACAGGATATGTGAATCAAATTATTAAAAATGTTTAATCCTTAATTAAATTATTTACAATTACAACAACAAAGACACTCAATATATATACTTCTAATTTTTTATTAAGATTTAATCTATTATGAATAAATTTTATTATAATTGTAGTTAATAATTATTTTTGTGAAATTTGAGAATAGTTGATAATAAAAATAATTGATTAAAATAGTTATTATGGATATGTTCTAACATTATTTCTTTTTGCCCAATGTTTTGACCTGTCTTTTAGATCCTCCTTAAGGACTTATAAGGAAGTACTTTGTTACAAAACATTTGGTAGAACATTGGCCAAAAAATAATCAATGTTACAACAGAACCATAAGGACCATTTCAATCAATTATCTCAATTACACTTGTGGTTCACTCAAAAACCTACAAATAATTGATAATATTAATATTATTATAAAATTACTTACTGGTGTAGGTTGTGTGTCATAGATATGTATCGGAGAAGGTGTCGAGATGTTATTTTGCTTTACTGCTGAACCCGATAGCTGCGACTGGTGCTGCAACGGTGAAAGCATTCATGGTTACAAACACAGTTATTTTTATTTTATTGCATGTAGTATGTACATTTTATCTTATACATGTGTTATTATCGCAGGTATATACTATATTTGTTGTTGTTACCTGTTCAAGTTCTAATGATGATATGTTGTTCCTGGAAATTACAGATGTATTCTGAGAGAACGACATCATCTGGCTGGTTATCTGAGGTGAAGTTATTTCCTGTTACAAATAAAATAAGTTTTGAAAACATGTTAAAATATAATACCACGTTGTTATACCCTTATGAAAAAATACACTCAATCATACGTTGACGGTCCGAAATAACCATCAAATTGAGTGTAAACCTTCATGAAACACTCGATTATGAAGGTTTACACTCAATTTGATGGTTATTTCAGACCGTCAACGTATAATTGAGTGTATTTTTTTCATAAGGGTAAAATTTTAGAAAAAGGTACTTTTTGTTTCTTAATGTTTTCTTCTGAATCTTGATTTATTCCTTTATTTGCTTGATGTATTATTGAAGTGGGTGACTGAGAAAAACTCATATTCGTAATACTTCTGAAATGATAAAAAGTTATGACAACAATATTTACTTAATATACCATACATAATAATTATAACAAAAATATACTAACTTTCTTTGGGCAATATGCTTTCCTAAAAAGTTGAGGCTGTCGAAGAGAAACCACTTTGATCGTGTAGGCTTTCCAGCACCACTCCTGGTTTCTTGTTCACGCAATATTCGTTCTTTGCTATAACGTTGACGGAGGCGTGTCCATCGTGTTTGGCAATCTGATACTGAAAAACATAAATATATATCATTATTTAACCACGTAAAAGAAAGTGCATGAAGATAGTGATAGATTCTACGTTTCATACACGTATAAAGCACGGTTAAATATGTTTAGCAAACAATTTACATTAAATAGGTTGTAAAATAAAGAATTATTAATAAACAAATGTTTTAAATTATAATTAACTTACCTGTAATATTCAAAATGCTAGCCATTTCTATCCATGCATTTTCTTTTATATTCGTGTTCTTGTATTCTCTTTGCGTTTTATCGTAAAGATAAGGACGAGATCGCACAAGATCGATTAAAAGTTCATCACCGTGTTTATGACTATTTATGTCATTCACATTATCACAATATTCGCTCGATGTATCGAATTGTCTTTCTTCAAAGTTATTTACTGTGTAATCAGAATGATCCATTTTAGAGATGGTGTCTTTTCACTTCATCACTTCACTACAGTGTAAAATCGTGAAGATTTATCTCTAGTCTTTATATGGTTAAAATATAATCTAAAAACAGTACAGTACACTCGAAACATTCAAACCTAGAAACACGCGTCTCGGCAAAAATCTGAGCGCTATGATTGGTTGGCTACAAGGCAATAGGTACAGAATTCCAACTCTACGGAAATTTTGTCGCTATCGCCTATTCCGTGCTGTGCTGTGGTTATTTCTGCATTGGCATATGGATTCCCTAGTGTTGGAATTCTGTTCCTATTCCTGTGTTATTGCTATCGCTATTACTATCGCTATCGCCAGCATTGTGCAAGGGCCTTGAAACATCGGTACCTACGGGCGCACGCATACGCGCACACAGGTACATCGGTACATACGGGCGCACGCACACGCGCACATACAGGTACATCGGTACCTACGGGCGCACGCATATGCGCACACACAGTACATCGGTACATACGGGCGCACGCATACGCGCACACACAGCTAGTACATCGGTACCTACGGGCGCACGCATACGCGCACACACAGCTAGTACATCGGTACACACGGGC